CCCAACTGCTCAGTCCCTCTCTCCCCCCCCCCCCCCCCCTGGAAACCCCCCCCACCTTGACGCCACATCCCCCTGCCCTTCCCCATTGCCCCCCTCCACTTTAAAGATCCCCCTCCCCCACACACACACACACTGGTTGCATTTGGGTCCCTACCCAATGCTCCCTCTAAGCCGTGGAGTCCTGTGAGCAAGAATTCTACTTTGTGAGCTGTCGGCGTTAAAGTGGTGGGCAGGCGATTGGGCTGCTGCATCAGTTAGTCTGCTCTGGAGCCCCATCCTTCCCTGAGCGGAGACAGAAATGTGTGGGCTGGAGGCTAGAAAACGGTCAGCCAGCTCACACTAACTCAACTTAGAGGGAACACTGGTCCATACCAATGTTCCCTCTAAGCTGTAAAGTCCTGTGAGCAGAAATTCTACTTTGTGAGCTACTGGGCATTAAAGTTGTGAGCGAGCCATTTGGCTGCTGCCTGAATTAGTTTGCTCTGGAACCCTCCGTCCTGAGCTAAGATAAAGATGTGTGAGCCGGAGGCTAAAAAACGGTGAGCCAGCTCACACTGACTCAGCTTAGAGGGAACACTGGTCCCTACCGTCTTCAGGGACTTCTGTTTGCTCTCCTTCCCCCCCCCCCCACTAATGGCACCATTGAGCAGTCAAGGGGAGGGGTCACTTTAGCCAATCAGCCTCTTATCACGCTCCATGTGTGGGGTGTGTATCGGAATATCCCCCCCCCCAAGGCTGGGGAGAAGAGGGGGGTGCCCAGCTTGCCCCTCTCAATGTCGAATGTGAGTGCAGAACCCAAGAATAAGCATGAAAGTCACCCCCCCCAACACACACAGGTTTAAGAGACTGCTAAGAGAAGGTGGGGCCCTGACAGGTGTAATTGATGGAAGACTTCTTGCTTATGGAAAATTCTCCCCCTCCCTTTCCTAGACTTGTTATAGGCCATGGAATGTTCACAATCACTCCAACTGCTGAAAGACCAGGGGGATGTTGGTTAGGGACTGCTGAAAATCAGGGAAGCCAAAGTACTATGGGGGAGTGGCAATAAATATCTGCTGCAAAGGGGCAGACTGGGGTGTGGTGAAGGAGAAAGGAGGAGGATGGGGGTGGGCAGTGTTCCCTCTAAGCTGTGGAGTCTTGTGAGCAAAAATCCTACTTTGTGAGCTACTGGCATTAAAGTTGCGAGCGAGCGATTTGGCTACTGCACAAATTGGTTTGCTCTGGAGCCCTCCTTCCTGAGCTAAGATGAAAATGTGTGAGCCAGAGGCTAAAAAACTGTGAGCTAGCTCACACTAACTCAGCTTAGAGGGAACACTGGGGGTGGGTGGGTGAATTCTCACACAGGGCCCTAGAAACCGGTGTCATTGTGCGCTGTAGAGAGAAGCACAAGCTGCAGAAGACTGAGGAGGGCAGCGGGTCGCAAATTATTCCTGATAGTCATGGTGTCTAACATGCGTAAGCCCCTCTGTGTGCCGAGGGGGAGCTATTAAGCACGTGGAAGCTGTAATCCTTACAACAATCCTGCAAGGTAGGTCTGTATTAGCGTTGCTGGGACAGGAGGCTACGAGCATTAGGACCCCAGCGGAGATGAGATTTGAATCCGAGTCTTCCTATCCCGGCCTTTCAGTCACGGAGCAGTTCTGGCTATTGGCCGAGGAGCCAACCCCCTTTAACCTGCAGGACCTGAATGAAGTCAGGCCGGCTCCTTGTGGCTTAGGCTGTGGCACTTCAGAGGGGCCACACAAGATGGCCGCCACCATGTCCCCAGGAGTCCCCTATTAACCTTTCTACCCCTCCTCCTTTGCAGACTCGACCATGGGCTGAACACTCCTGGGGGAATCCCCCCTCGTCCCTCGGGCATGTCCGAAGCCAGATGCCCCGCGAGCGCCCCCCGATGCCCCCTCTCTCATCTCTGCAAGTACTGCGGGGCAGAGTTCCCTCGCTCCTGGGACCTCCGCTACCACATGCGCTCGCACCCCGAGGGGCGCGGCTTCGGCTGCAAGCTGTGCGGCAAGGCCTTCTTCCGCTCCTCGGCCCTCCTGCGCCACGAGATCACCCACAGCGGGGAGAAGCCGTTCAAGTGCGGCGAGTGCGGCAAGGGCTTCGCCCAGGCGGTCCAGCTGGAGAACCACACCCGCTCCCACACGGGCGAGCGCCCCTTCGCCTGCGGCCAGTGCGGGAAGGCCTTCATGTCCTCCTCCCACCTGGCCCAGCACCGGCGCATCCACTGGGCCGAGCGGAAACACCGCTGCCCGCTCTGCGGGAAGACCTTCCTGCGGCCTTGGGACGTCGTGCAGCACCAGCGCTTCCACACCGGCGAGCGCAACTTCCGCTGCGAGGACTGCGGGAAGAACTTCTTCCGCTCCTCGGACCTCCTGCGGCACCAGCGCATCCACACCGGCGAGCGGCCCTTCCGCTGCCAGCCCTGCGGCAAGACCTTCTCGCGCTCCTCCGTCCTGGCCAAGCACATGCTGACCCACACCGGCGAGAAGCCCTACAAGTGCGAGACCTGCCAGAAGGCCTACATCACCGCCTCCCAGCTCACCGAGCACCGGCGCGTCCACACGGGGGAGAAGCCCTACCTCTGCGCTGACTGCGGCAAGACCTTCACCTCCTCCTCCCTCCTCCGCCGCCACGTCAAAATCCACACCGGGGAACGGCCACACGCCTGCCCCGACTGCCCCAAGGCCTTCAAGACTTCCGGGCATTTGCACAAGCACCGGCAGATCCACGCCAGGGAGGGAGGGAGCGGGGGCAGGGAGGGGGTGGCCGCGGCGCAGTGGGGAGGCGGGCTGCGGAGCAGGGGGGCCAGAGAGGCGCCCCGGCCGTGTCTTTGGGGAGAGGGGGCACAATAAAGAAGGGCTCCCCCTCTCGGGTGGTGAAGGAACTGCATCTCTGTGTTTCAATAGCCTGGCAGGGTTGGCGTGGGATCGCCGGTGGCATTGCTTGGCTCGGTCTTAAGAACATAAGAGAGGCCAGTGTTGGATCAGGCCCGTGGCCCATCCAGTCCAACACTCTGTCACACGGTGGCCACAAATACCAGGGGCCGTCAGGAAGGTCCACCAGTGGGGCCAGGACACTAGAAGCCCTCCCACTGTTGCCCCCACCCAAACACCAAGAATACAGATCATCCCTTGCCCCATACTGAGAGTTTCTTGTGGCTATTGGCCACTGACGGACCTCTGCTCCATATATGTTTACCCAGTTCCCTCTTGAAGCCGTCCCTGCTTGTAGCCGCCGCCGCCACCTCCTGCGGCAGTGAATTCCATGTGTTAATCACTCTTTGGGTGAAGAAGGACTTCCTTTTATCCATTCTAACCTGACTGCTCGGCAATTTCATTGAGTGCCCGCAAGTTCTTGTATTGTGAGAAAGGGAGAAAAGGACTTCTTCCTCTACCTGCTCTGTCCCATGCATAATCTTGTAAACCTCGATCATGTCACCCCTCAGCCGTCATTCTAGTTGCCCTTTTCTGCACTTTCCCCAATGCTGTAATATGCTTTTTGAGGTGTGGTGACCAGAACTACTCCAAATGAGGTCGCACCATCGATTTCCCCCAGATCTTCTCCCAACTGGTTCAGAAGGGGACTGGCACTGTGGCGGACATTCAGCGGGCTCTGAGATGGACATTGGCACCTCCGACTTGGCACTTAAGGAGTGGCAATGGGTCGAATGTGGGGGACATGCTTGTTCTCCATTTGTGGTGGTGGAAAGTGCCGTCGACTCACTGCCAATTTATGTTGACTTCACAAGGCTTTTTCAAGGCAAGAGATGATAAACAGGGGCGGTTTTCCATTGCCTGTCTCTGTGTAGCCACCCTGGACTTCCTTGGTGGTCTCCTATCCAAGTAATAACCAGGGCTGACCTGGCTTAGCTTCTGAGATCTGACAAGACTGGGCTAGTCTGTCTCCATTAGGTAAAGGTAAAGGTTCCCTTGCTCGAAAGCCAGTCGAGTCCGACTCTAGGGTTGCGGCGCTCATCTCTGTTTCCAAGCCGAAGAGCCAGCGCTGTCCGAAGACGTTTCCGTGGTCATGTGGCCGGCATGACTAAGCACCAAGGCGCACGGAACGCTGTTCCCTTCCCACCGAAGTGGTAGCTATTTATCTACTTGCAATTTCTTGCTTTCGAACTGCTAGGTTGGCAGGAGTCTCCATTGCAGAGCAAATTGTAGGAACCGGTTGCAGTTTCTCACATCAGCCAGAAGGTTGTGCTGTAGTACAGCAAATAAACCCTGCCCACATTGCAATGGTCAACCCACCCTGTTGACTTTTCAGGGTGACCCCTAGAGGGAGCTGTGACAGAGATTGGTCGCCTCTGGTTCAGGAAATGCACAGACAGACCGATATTGGCTAACGGAACAGAGTTTCTTTTTAAGCCACAGAGAAGCAGAAAACTGTATCTGTAGATACCTCTCTGAGGCTCAGCCCCCTTCTTTTCCTAGCTGGGCCTCTGCATGATTACCACCACCAAAAACAAGATAGGTAGCCGTGTTAGTCTGTCTGTAGCAGTAGAAAAGAGCAAGGCCGATTTCACACAAGAGCTGCGCCGCGGTCGCGCCTCCCTTTGCCCCGGTTCTATTGGTCAATTTCCCACTCGAAGCCACGCGGCCGCATTCTGACCCGCGGCTTCGCCCGATTTTCCCCGCGGTTCCGTCATCCTCAAAAAACAGGATCACGAAAACGCGGGGAAGATCGAGCGAAGCCACAGGTCAAAATGCGGCCGCGCGGCTTCGAGTGGGAAATTGACCAATAGAACCGGGGCAAAGGGAGGCGCGACCGCGGCGCAGCTCTTGTGTGAAATCGGCCTTGCTCTTTGCTCACTTCTTCAGATATCTGAAGAAGTGAGCGGTGACTCAGGAAAGCGCACACCCTGCCACACTTTTTGTCAGTCTTTAAAGTGCTCCTGGACTCTTCCTCTTTTCTACCTCCACCAAAACAGGCAGACATCCAGTAGGATTCCTGTAGAATGCTATCAGAGGAATGGAGTGACACCCCTTGTCTGGCATAGGGTAGCCAATCTCCAGGTGAGGCCTGGAGATCTGGAATGACTACTGATCGCCAGATGATCAGAGACCTGTTCCCCTGGAGAGAATGGCTGCTTTGGAGGGTGGGCGCTATGGCATCGTACCCTGCTAGGGTCCCCATGGCTCGCCTGCCCTCAGGTTCCACCCCCCCCCCCCAACCTCCCAGAATTTCCCAACTCAAAGCTGGTAACCAGTGCTCCCTCTAAGCTTGGGAGTCTTGTGAGCAAAAATTCTACTTTGTGAGCCACTGGCATGAAAGTGGTGGGTGAGCGGTTTGGCTGCTGCATCAGTTAGTTTGCTCTGGAGCCCTCCTTCCTGAGTGAAGACAAAGATGTGTGAGCTGGAGGCTAAAAAACTGTGAGCAAGCTCACACTCACGCAGTGTTCCCTCTAAGCTGAGTTAGTGTGAGCCAGCTCACAGTTTTTTAGCCTCCGGCTCACACATTTTTGTCTTCGCTCAGGAAGGAGGGCTCCAGAGCTGACTAATTTCTGCAGCAGCCAACTTGCTCGCTCACAACTTTAATGCCGGTCGCTCACAAAGCAGAATTTTTGCTCACAAGACTTCACACCTTAGAGGGAACATGGCTGGTAACCGTAGCCTCTCAAATCTATGGGGAGGACAGGCACCGTAAAGGTCAAACTCTGCTGTTCAACTTTATTAATTCCACTACAGCCATGCTAGGTCCTACTCAGAGAAGTAGGGGAGTGCCAGGAAGACTGAGGTTCGGCTCTGCCGCCGGTTCGAAATCTCACTCTTCCTCGTGAAGTTTCTGGAAGAGAGAAGAAGAAAGAGGAGGCGTAACACAGGAGGAAGAAGAGCGAGAAACGGGAGGAGAGGACGAAAGGGAGGCAGAAACCGGGAAGGGGAAAGGCTGACGCGAGGCCTTCTCGACTTGGTGGAGATGGCTGGAAAATGCTTTGGCTGCTGTAAAAATGCAGGAATCTTTTTCTGCCTCGGAGTGGCTTTCAGGTTGGGGTTGTGGGGAAGAAGCAGTTCTGCAAGTTTCCACTGTATCAGGCAAAAGCTAGCAGGGGAGTAAGGTGGGAAACCTCTTCATGGTGGGTTCCTTTGCCTACGACCGGGAGATGTGGCCCAGCGTATCCAAGACCAGCTGAGGAGCTAGAGTTGTACTTTTCTTCCTTGGTTGGTTAAATTCTATTTCTGGCAGGGTTTTTTTTTTGCTTTTCTTTGAGTCCCCAGGGGAGGAGAAAAGTGAGCTATAAATGTCTAAATAAAGAAAGCCAGCTAGGATAGGTGCTTATTGGCCAGTGCCAGTGCCGCCAACAGTGTTCCTCCAGCTTTTCTCCCCAGTCCTGGAGCAGTTTGAGGGGGGGATGAACACATATTCCTACACATACGTATCTGCTGCCTGAAGCACGAATGAAGGATCAAAGCCAGGAACAGCTAAGAAGGAATGATTGTAAAAGGAAAGTGGAGAGATTGCTTTGGGTGGAAAGAGGGAGATCCCAAATATTAAAATGGGGCCTATTGGGTGAAGTTGCAATTACAGGTCAGGGGTTACATTTGAACATAAGCAGAGAGTGTTTCTCATATGTTCTTAAATTGCCCTTCCTTCAAGGAGAGCTTGGAGGAGCACCCATGGTTCTCCTCATTTTATTCTTGCAACAATGAGAGCCAGTTTGGTGTAGTGGTTAAGTGCATGGACTCTAATCTGGGAGAACTGGGTTTGATTCCCCACTCCTCCACTTGCAGCTGCTGGGTGACCTTGGGCAAGCCATAGTTCTCTCAGAGCTGTTCTTGAAAGAGCAGTTCTCTCAGAGCTCTCTCAGCCCCGCCTACCTCACAGGGTGTCTGTTGTGGGGAGGGGAAGGGAAAGGAGTTTGTAAGCTGCTCTGAGACTCCGAGAGAAGGGTGGGGTATAAATCCAATCTCCTCCTCCTCCTCTTCTTCTTCTATTCTTGCAACAACCCTGTGAGGTTGGCTAGGCTGTGTGTGACTGGCCCAAGATTACACAGTGAGCATCAGGACAATGCAGAGCATTGGAACCCAGGTCTGGCAGACTCCCTAGTCCGAGAACCTAACCATTACACACCTCGCATCTTTCAAACCTGAACAACCACATCCTGCATCTAGAAACGGGAGGCAGGAACAGGAGGCTCTTAATGGGGTCTGGCGGTTTCGAGGGTACCCATGAACCGCTGAAGGGACAACAGGAAAACACAAGAAGAGAAAAACACAATTGGGGGGGAGAGAGAGTTTGCATTTCAGATGGAAAGAGAAGAGAGAAAACAGAGTGGAAAGGGGAACAAGACATCCTGAGAAGGCGAGAGGTGAGTTTCCAGGGTCTGACGGGAAACCCAGTGGTGGTGGACACCTACTGGCTAGTGCCTGTGACATCAGAAGTATACCTCTGCCTCCCCCCGCAAATGCAAGTATGATAGAGAGAGGCTACTGTCCTGGTCAGACAGAAAAAGGGGCAGGGAAAACGGAGGTGAGGAGGGTGGGAGTGACCACAGAATCAGAACGAGAGGAAGCCACAAAAGGCGCGGTCCCTCCGCTCTGTTCTAGGACCTCTCCAATAGGGGATCCTCACACTGTCAAATTTCACAGGTGCCCACTCACCCCCCCCCACTGCATCCCCAGTTTCCTCCCAACCTCTGGGCCCCAGCCCTCACCTTCCCTCCCACATCGCGGCTCTTGGCCTTCAGCTTGTTGATCTGAGACTCGGCGATGTCGGCTCGCTCGTTGGCCTCATCCAGGTCGTGCTGAACCTTCCGGAACTTGGCCAGGTTGGTGTTGGCCTGCTCTTCCTAGGGTGGGAGAGAACAGAAAGCCAGGGAGTGGTCGGTATTAGATAGGTGGGACTTCCTGATCGTAACTGGGGAGGGGGTGTGGAGATGCCCCTGTTGCTGTATCAGTGGCAGAAGGAGGGTGGTCCTGGTTCTATTTGGGGTGGGTGGGACTGAGTCAAAACAGTTAATCTGCCAAACTACCTGCTGCTGTGATCTCAGCAAAGAACGGGTAGAGACTGTGTGAAGGGTCTTCAGAATAGCTTTGCAGCTCAGGTTCAGCAAAGCTGTATCATGGAAGGCAGCTTAAGGTCTTGCAAGGCTTGATCCAACAGTTGGTTGCTGAGGTTTAGCAAAGGGGGACCTTTTCGGAGCAGCTAAAAGGCTGCCCAGCGGGCCTGCAAGACCAAGCTCTGAGCTAGTGTTGCTATGTCCATGGAAGAAAGGGGTGTGTGTGTTCCTAATTCTTGTATTGGAAGCCTGCAAAGCATTTCGTAATCTGAAATAGAAGTACGTCCAGTGGTCATTTCGGGGG